TCAGGAAGGGTGCAGAGACCATATTCTGCTTGGAGTGCTGGCCCTTGGCAATTTTTGCAGGTGCCAGGAATGGGCCTAGCTTGAGGCTTGGTCATGCCCAAGGCTACCAGCTGAGCACTACCCAGCTGTGGGAATTTTTTTGCTACATATTATACAATGAACAAAGGTGGTTTGGAAAGGGAGCTGGGATTCAGAAGATGAGACGAAAATGGATACATTTAGGCTGTATTGAGCTGAACTCTAAGCAAGAGTAGGCCCATTGAAATGAATAAACCTAAGTTAGTCTTGTCCTTCAGTTTCAATAGGTTTACTCTGAATAGAACTAGCAGTGGACACAACACCCTGTGTCTGTGTCCTAAGATCAACTTACACTGGCTGGCAGCAGCTTTCCAGGGTTTCTGCCTGAGGTCTTTCCTAGCCCCTCCTAGCGATGCCAGGGAGTGAACTTTGGATCTCCTGCATACAGAGCTGGTACTCTATATCACCTTCTCCCGAATAACTCCACTACACGTTCAGGCACACTACTTTTTGTTTAGTGATTTAAATGACAGTACAGTGGTACCTCGGGTTAAGAACTTAATTCGTTCCAGAGGTCCGTTCTTAACCTGAAACTGTTCTTAACCTGAGGTACCACTTTAGCTAATGGGGCCTCCTGCTGCCACCGCGTCGCTGGTGCACGATTTCTGTTCTCATCCTGAAGCAAAGTTCTTAACCCAAGGTACTATTTCTGGGTTAGTGGAGTCTGTAACCTGAAGCGTCTGTAACCTGAAATGTCTGTAACTGTACCACTGTATTGACAGCATCCCCCCCCCCCAAAGCAAAACAGGAACACAGGGACCATAAAATAGAAGTAAACAGAAACAATTGGAATGTGTACAGTGCTTTAGATAAGTGTCCCTAGGAAAAGACATAATCTGACCCACTTTGAAGCCCATCTGTTTGTCTCCCATCTCAGGCAGCAACCCTTATAAATACTAATCTCTCGTCTTACCCCCATTAGGAGGCCCTGGCATACATCTCTCTCTCTCTCTCTCTCTCTCTCTCTCTCTCTCTCTCTCTGTGTGTGTGTGTGTGTGTTTAAATGGGATTGGTATTGTTTATCATTTCATTCTGACAGTGATAATAAGCTGAGGGTTTGGGTGGGCATTTCTTAAAAGCTATCTCTGCAGCTTTTACTGTTTGCAGCAGATGTCTGCTTTATTTAAAATACTCAACAGCTTAGCCACTAATAGCATAATTTCACTTAAAATATATTATGGGAGAGAGAGGAGGTTGAGCTACAAAAAAACTACGAATGTTGTGATCAGTGGGGTGGGGGGAGAATTTGCCTTTTCCATCAACAGCCCAATCCTAGTGGTCTAAGTGGAAGGTAAAACTTTGGTTGAATTTGAGGGTTGCAAAAACAGGTTTTGGCAGCAGAGTGAGTTTCATAAAGGGATAACTTTGTTTAGCTTCATCGTTGTTTTCACATCCCCACTGCAGTTGTTAGGGATATAAGATAATTTCTTTTGATCTGCATTTTAAAGCAGGCCAACTTAAGTCACAGTTCCTGGACTTATACGAGGATTGGAATGCATTAATTCATTGGATTGCACACTTCTCTCGATTTTCTGAGGCACTTTTGGGCCTTGTTGTTTTTCTTAAAAAAATATAGATAAATAAGTGCCTTTTGCAGGAAAGTTGTGCACAAAAATGTTAATTTAGAGGAAATATATAAAACAGCACAGCCCCCAAAGAAAGGTTAGGGGGGATGCTTACAAAATGTTATTCAAGTGGGAAGTGTTCCTAAAATGCAAATATTAAGGGGTAATCCACAAATTAAATGTGGATTTTTTTATGTTATTGCTACAAAAAATGTGCAGCAAATGGGGTCAGAATGGACTGATTAATTAATTAATATACCACTTGATGCCAAAATAAGCTTCTAAACAATTTTGGTTGTATGCACACATAACCGGCACAGAATGGAAGCAGGGTGTAGAACAGACTCCCATGAGAGGTGGTGGACTCTCCTTCCTTGGAGGTTTTTAAGCAAAGGTTGGATGGCCACCTGTCATGGATGCTTTAGTTGAGATTCCTGCATTGCAGGGGGGTGGACTAGATGACCCTCAGGGAACCTTCCAACTCTAGAATTCTATGATTCTATGAATGGAAGAAGTTGAGGTTCCTAGCTGTTAACCATGATGGATAATGGATCTCCTATATATAAGAACATTATGTCACTGAAAAACAGATGCTGAGTGGGGGCAAGAAGATGAGACAGGGGAAGGCTCTTGTTTTATGCCCTGCTTCAGTGGAGGTTAATCCATGATGCCAAGTGGGGCACTGCGCCACCAACTCCAGTCTGCCTCAGCCAATCTCCACCTGCCTACCTCCTTGCAACCAGTGCAGGAGGTGGTAATGTCTGTCAACCTCCTCCTTCATCTCATTATTACAGTCATACCGCATATTACGTTTGCTTCATGTTATGTTTTTTCAGGTTGCATCCCACGGCGACCTGGAAGTACCGGAAAGGGTTACTTCCGGGTTTCGCTGCTCTCGCATGCGCAGAAGCGCTAAAATCACGCTTCACACATGCACATAAGCGCCAAATTGTGCTGTGCACCTGCACAGATACGGCACTTCAGTTTGCGGGCTTTTCAGGTTGCGAACGGGCCTCAGGAATGGATCCTGTTCGCAACCAGAGGTACCACTGTATTCCCTTAGTGGAATGCAGCAGGGAGGATAGAGTGTCCTAGTTAGCCACTGTAGAAACAAGATACTAGACTAGAACTTCTGATCTATTCTAGCAGATCTCCTCTTATGCCCAAGTAACTGTCATTAGTTTCAAGGATAAATCTCGGAGGGACCGGTCAGATGAGGATAAGCAGTGGGAAAATTGCAAAGATCTGGAGGCTGGTGATCCTGGGAAGAAACTGTGTCTGAACCCCATGAGACATCAGAAGTGTATGGCAGGTGGGGAACGTAACAAGCAAGGAGTTTGATTACAGTGGTACCTCGGGTTAAGAACTTAATTCGTTCTGGAGGTCCGTTCTTAACCTGAAACTGTTCTTAACCTGAAGCACCACTTTAGCTAATGGAGCCCCCTCTGCCGCCGCACAATTTCTGTTCTCATCCTGAAGCAAAGTTCTTAACTCGAGGTACTATTTCTGGGCTAGCGGAGTCTGTAACCTGAAGCGTATGTAACCTGAGGTACCACTGTATAGGGAGGGACTCAGTGGGCTATCACTGGATCAACCCTTGCCAATGTGTGACATTTTAATGTATTCTTAATCTTTGTTGGAAGCCACCCAGAATAGCTGGGGAAACCCAGCCAGGTGTGCAGGGTACAAATAAATTATTATTATTATTATTATTATTATTATTATTATTATCCAGCCCAAAGTTCCTGTTCCACCTGTGCTGCTAGACTCTCCCCTCCCATCAACTCTAGCTGACAAGCCTCCACGTACAGAGGGGCGTCAGACCCAGCCCATCAAAAGGAGTTCCCATTTGCTCGCCCATCCTACTTACTATGCTAAAGCCAAGCCCGCCCAACTCCTACATCAGGGCAACCCAAGGGGCATGTCAACTGTTGGATCAATGACTTAACTCACTTAGCCATGCATTGCACCTACTGTAGCTTTGACCTTTGTCTTGCTTATGTACTATAATGATTTGAGCATTAAAGCTTTGAGCAGAAACTGTAACCCAAGTTCAAGCTGTTCATTCAGTGGGAGCCAGAACAGTAGCAGCCCAACTAAAGTGACTTGTACTTGGTGCTTGCACTACAACAAGGAGGCCTCTGCAGGCAGACCCTCTATATCCATGGAGAGGGACACCCACCAGATCCAAGGAGCCTTTTCTTCCCAGAAACTCCCATAGAATTCATTCATAGATATTATGGGTGATTTACCCCCCATGTCCAGAGGATGTTCTTCTGCAAATTCTGACATATCCTCCTGTTGGGTGATTTCCACTTAAATCATGCTTATGGTAAGTCCACACATAATGGGGTCCATTGATTTTGGTGGATCTATTCTGATTGCGACTTCTCTTGGGTTATCCCTTACACTTAGGTCAACTTCCATTTCAAAGGTCACAGAAGGGTTATTAGAGGAAAGGAATAACATCTCCAAAAGTACAAAAAAATTCTAATGCAGGAGAAAGCTGGAGATGAAATGAAATAGTTCTGACTCGTTCCATGATGTAGGAAGGGATATACTGTATTGAGGTGACATTTCATGATGTATGGAGTCATGCATGACTCACATCATTTGTAAAACTCTTACCTTTCTTTCAAGTTTTGGCACAGTGTTGCTTCCTTAGAAGGATGATGTGAGGATGATGACGATGTGATTATTAAAAAGTATTTGCTTCTTGTCCTTTTACAGCATTATGGAAGAGCTTGTAACTCATCACAGAGCATTAGGAGCATAGGAAGCTCCCTTATACTGAGACCATTTGTGCATCTAGCTCAGACTATTGCTGGCCGTACTTCTCCTAGGTTCCAGGCAGGAGACATTCCCAGCCTACCTGGGGATGCTGGGATTGAACCTGGGACTACCTGCTTGCTAAGTAGGTGTTGTGCTACTGAGCTACAGCCCTTCTACATGTTTGCATGCCAGAGGCCCAAAGTTCAATCCCTGGTGTCTCCAGTTAGATCTATAAAAGGCCCTTGTCTGAAAACAATGACAATGATGACATTGAGCAAATTGGACCAATGTTTTTGCTTTCTTTAATGTAGCTTCCTAAGTTCCTATTCAGTTTAGAATAGTCATGATCAGTAGTATCCCTTCCAAAACTATCACGGTGACAATGTTCCAGTAAAAAGCCCTTTTGTATCTAATGATTTGGTTTTTAATGGCTGCCATTCTGCATCTCTGCAGCTGCATAGGAACATAGGAACCTGCCTTACACTGAGTCAGGCCACTGATACATCTAGCACAGTATCACCAACACTGACTGACATCACCTCTTCAGAGTTTGAGGCAGGGAGTCTCTTCCAGCCCTATCAAGAAAGGGATGCTGAGTGGATTGAACCTGGGACCTTCTGCATGCAAAGCAGATGCTCTATCACTGAGGCATGTCTCCATCCCAAATGAATCCCCTGTTAGTTCTTGCTTTTTGCCATCCCTTTCTTCTCTTGTTACTCTTGTTGTCCTTTCAGGAAAACCCATATATGTGTGATGAGTGTGATGCATCCAACCCTGACCTGGCCCATCCACCTAAGCTGATGTTTGACAAAGAAGACGAAGGCCTGGCGACATACTGGCAGAGTGTGACATGGAGCCGTTACCCGGAGCCTTTGCTGGCCAACATCACACTTTCTTGGAACAAGAGCATTGAGCTGACTGATGACATCATAGTGACTTTTGAGTATGGGCGTCCCACAATGATGATCCTGGAAAAGTCCTTGGACAATGGGAGGACTTGGCACCCATATCAATACTATGCAGATGATTGCAACGAAACCTTCGGCATGCAAGCACGGAGGGTCAGGAACCTTTCCACCACCAGCGCCAACAGGGTCATCTGCACAGATGAGTATTCCCGCTGGCCGGGCTCCAAGAAAGAGAAGAATGTACGCTTTGAAGTGAGGGACCGCTTTGCCATTTTTGCTGGGCCAGAACTCAAGAATATGGACAACCTTTACACCAGGCTAGAGAGTGCCAAAGGGCTGAAGGACTTCTTCACCATGACGGACTTGCGGCTGCGGCTGCTGAGGCCAGCGCTAGGGGGCACCTATGTGCAGCGGGAGAACTTGTTCAAGTACTTCTATGCTGTCTCCAACATTGAAGTCACGGGCAGGTAACAGGAGATCTATTTCCTTCCTTCTTTCCTTCCTTCTTTCCTTTTCCATACCTTTTCTTGGAGAGGAATAGTTGCTACTGAAGAATTTATTTAAAGTGGTACCTCTGTTTTACGAACTTAATTCGTTCTGGAGGTCCGTTCTTAACCTGAAACCGTTCTTAACCTGAGGTACCACTTTAGCTAATGGGGCCTCCCACTGCCGCCGGGCTGCCAGCGTGAAATTTCTGTTCTCATCCTGAGGTAAAGTTCTTAACCCAAGGTACTACTTCCAGGTTAGCGGAGTCTGTAACCCGAAGTGTTTGTAACCTGAGGTGTTTGTAACCTGAGGCACCACTGTATTTATTTATTTATTTAACAAAATGCAGCGCTCTAGTATGCTTCAAAGAGCAATTTTCCAAACCACTATCTGAAGTGCCTCCCTACTCTGTTAAACAGCTTGCCTAGGCACTTGCTTCCCATGCTGCTTGCTCACCTGCCTGCTGGTCTCCCATCATGCTGAAGTTGCCATGGCCACCTATTGAACTTTAGCATGACAACAGCCTTACAATTTTATTAGACAAAAAGAAAACATTAATATTCTCATTAAAAAACAGGCATTTAGACACATTCAAATGATAATTAAAATCAACAGTAACTAAGAAGAGATAAAATATATGTAATTTCTACATTTCTGGATAGGTTTGCCTAACAAAACTGGTTAGGCAATAAAAAATATTTTAAAATTTCATAATACAACAGTATAAAAGACAAAGTAATCTGAATGAGAACAAAAGCAGAAAAAGAGAAGGAAAACAAAATACAAAGTTCTTTCTCAGATCTTAACCCTTGTCTCACACAGGAAAGGGTGGACTAGCTTACCTTTCCTCTTCCAGTTTTCCACCCTGGGAGATCTTCCCTTCCCTGCCTCTCACACAAGGCCCCAACCACCTATCACCTTCATGTATGTACAATCACAATAGTGGTCCAAAGCAGAGGACACAGAGAGACAGACAGACAGACAGACAGGAAAGAAGGAAAAGAAAAATAACAGAAGAATAAAAGAAAAACAGAATCAATCAATCAATCAATCAATCAATCAATAGGACATGATTTTCTGTCTGTCAATTACATCCCCCCCAAAATTATTCAAAGTATTCACTCTTAGGATGACATCCTTCACTAAGCAATATTGTCACTTAACAACAATGTTTTAAGCGGGTGCTAAAAAGAATAAGGCATCAACAGGCAGGGAGTTCCAACGTGTAGGTGCTGCGCACTAAGAGATCGATTGCTTACAGGTGTAGAATGAGTGTTAGGTGGCAAATGCAATTTAGTTTTATTAATTAAACAATTAATTATGGCATAAGCTTCTGTAAGCTACTGTCTACAGATCCGCAGAGTGTTATCCTAAGTCAGCAGAAATATATGCACATGGGGGTAGCTTGAAACAAAATGCAAGAAACTGGTCGGTGACAGTGATGCTGCAAAATAAGCATAGTAACAATGGACAGATTCTGTTTACTTTAATTTCTCTCAGTTTCTCGTTTATTCCAATTTTAAGTTCAGCTTCCCACATTTCTGCATCTGTTTGCTACCCCCCACCCCGCAAATTCCTCATGAAAATTTGTCAACATTTTAGAGCACATTTCTCCTAATATATACCTTTGTGAATGCGGTTTCTCCTAATGTAAATTAATACTAATTCCCCCTAATATCACACATTTCCCACTTTTTATGCACACATTTTTTTTAACGCATTATTTATTTGGAGAGCTGTATCATAGAATTCAGAGCGGTGTAATTGTCAAAGGAGAGCTGTGTTTGGGCTTGTGGACTGTTTTAGGAAGTGTGAATTAGATAGGTTTACATTAAAATGCCAACTGTATGGAATTTCTTCCCTACCCCTACTAAGGATGATGACATCTTCAACAGAGAAACTCACAGTTGGAAGTGTGTGTGTGTGTGTGTGTGTGTGAGAGAGAGAGAGAGAGAGAGAGAGAGAGAGAGAGACTCTACACCACCTAGATGGTTTGGCAAAGGAGCTCATTGGTTCCAGCAGGTTGCTCAGTGGTAGAGCATATGCTTTGGAGACAGGAGCCCCCAGATTCAATCCCCAGCATCTCAAGATAGGACTGGGATATCCCTGCTTGAAACTCTGGAGAAGTGCTGCCAGTCAGTGTGGACAGTATTGAGCTGGATGGACCAATGGGTCTGACTCAGTATAAAACAGCTTCTTAGTTTCTTAACTTTGGAGAAGGGTTGTAGCTCACTGTTAGAGCCCCTGTTTTACATGCAGAAGGTTCCAAGTTAAGTCTTCAGAGTTAGATGGACTACTGGTCCATCTTATATTATTATCCATCTTATATTATTATAAGAACTACTAAATTATTACTCTGACAACATCTGTAGGGTCACAGGTTCCCCTTGGCTGATTGACACCACAAGACTTACCTTCCCTACACTTGAGACAAGTGAAAGCTGTGTTTATTGTTTATGAAGGGTGGTTTAGAAAGATCATCATCCAGTTAAGCTCTTACTGTATGTTCCTTTTCCAGAGCCTCTTCTCTTCCTCTTCCTCTTCCTCTTCCTCTTCCTCTTCCTCTTCCTCTTCCTCTTCCTCTTCCTCTTCCTCCTCTCCTCTCCTCTCCTCTCTGCTAGTGTGGCAGAGCACACACACCCCATCAAGCCCTACACAGCCATTCTTTAGGCATGCAGATGGAGGCTGCTCTGACAGGAGACAATTACAGAATCAAATTACTACCCCAGGAGAGATGGTTTCATTTGGAACTCTGTTTTTTTTGTGCTCTAGATTGGGATGCAAAGTCAGAATCTCCCCATGAAAGTCAAGTTATGGCATCATCATCATCATATTTATTCCATTGGGTAAATGTATATAAAATGTAATTTGTAGGAGCCAACCTAAAGGGGCTTTTCCTTTACTGACATCAAACCCACCCAACCCCAGCTACTGCAGACTTCTTCCTACAAGTATAGAACATCAGACATGTGCAACCTTCTCAACATATTCTAACATGAATGCACTCCCCATGTTTTGTAGGAGCATAAGAAGCTGCCTTATAACAGTGAGTCAAACCACTTGTCTTTCTAGCTCAGTATTGTCTACACTGACTGGCAGCAGTTTTCCAGGATTCCAGGCGGGGGGGTCTTTCCTAGACCTACCAGGAAATGTCAGGAATTGAACGTAGTGCCTCCTGCATGCAAGACAGATGATCTGTCACTGAGCTACTTAGCAACCTTCATTTACATAGGAGGCAGGGAAGGTGAAAACCCCATCTGTGCTGTGAAGAGATTGAGGTGTGACGCTTCTGAATCAGCTCTGATTTCCGACCATTAAAGCATTTATATGTGATTCAGTTTGTAGGGAGATGGTTGAGACAAGCAATATGTGACCTCACTGTGTACCAAGCAACCTTCAGCCCTCTAGTTCATGCTACTCAAAGTGCTGGTCCATGCACCTCTGATGGTCTGCAAGCCATTGGCTGCCAATCTGTGGCGACTCCACCACTGCCTGGGTTGGGTGGGACACTTAAGAGATCAAATATGGTGACAGACCCTAACACATTGTGGAATAAAATTGCTGGGCCACTATATAATTTGAGAAGCACTGCTTTAGTTGTTGTTTTGCAGCTCCCATCATCCCTGAGCATTGGCTATGCTGACTGGGAGCTGATAAGAGTTGGAGTCTAACATCATCTGGAGGGCCACGGGTCCCCCCATCCCTGCTGTGAGAGATATTGAGTGAGTCAGTGGCCTTTCATCTTTTCTTTTGAAGAGTTAATAGTGAAACATATTTCTTTAATGGGCACCAGTGGCCAGAAGTTGCTTGCTTAAATAAGTATATGAGCATCAATGGCTAGAAGATGCTTGCTTAAACAAGCATTGATGACTCTTGTTGGTTGGTAGCTATTTTAATGGGTGCACCTGACCTACTTGAAGAAAAACAGTTTGGCAGGTGCAGTGTAGCCAGCAAAGGAGATGGAAGTCTTGAGCTCTGCACCTAGCTGGAGAAAATGAGTATTGAGAATGCTCAATGGGCATGTTGTTTGATTCTGTGGGGAAATGATGCTACTTGATGGACTACCATGGCCTCCAAAGGTCTTCTTGCCTCTCCAGCATGCAGGGTTTTGGTCTGCTTTTCTTCATCTTTTGGAAACAGAGACTCAAGGGACCATGTAAAATACAGTATACTACTTTGAAAGTCCAGTTTTTAAAAAGGAACTAGTTCCAGTTAAAGTTTGAACTTTTACAAAACAAATTAGTTCAGTCCAAGTTCATCAAACTATTT